AAATGAGTAATTTTGGTGTTATTTTCTAATTTTTCCCTTACTTTATAAAAGAGTAGGATGAGATGTGTAGAATAGATTAGTCATAATTAAAAATAACACTAAAATTACTCATTTTAAGGGCGCGCCTTTTTTGGAACAGGAAATGTTTTATGGGACGGAGGGAGTATTACATAATTATATAGCTAATTGAAATATTTTAATAAACTATCCGTATCATTGTGTGGGTGATTTAACGAATTAAATTCGAATGGAAGTTTGCGGTTGATGCATGCATAGTGTCGAAAGTCTTCCAAAAAAACTAGAAGATCAGACGTACGGCATGTCTCATGATGTAACAATGGAGGTGCAAGATGTATAGTTTGCAGATTAACATGGATTGTCTTATGAACAATACAGATTCCTTTCAACTCTTGTAAATAGCATCAAAGAGAAGAGTATGTAGCTAACACTTTTTTTTATATATATAGAAATGACAATTTTATAATTATTTGATGGATTTTTTAGACCTTATTAATAATGTCGTTCATATATTCTAACCCTAGCTACTAGCTAATTTTAGATAGATTTCAATGGTTACAATTTAAAGATCAGGTACTGTCATATATAGCTAGATATTTGTTGAATCTAAAAGCGAAAATTATATTGAATTGGACATTTGGATGAGATTGCGTTTGTTAAGTTGGATGCCCACCACAGTCTTGTAGTTACAATCTCAGTTGGTACAAATTAATCAAACTTTTAAGGAGAAAAAAAGAGAAATGTGATTGAACTCCAATTGGGCAACGCCCAACGAGTTTGTTGGGAGATTTTTGCTTTTTCTTTTTTTTTGTAGAAGCGTGATTATTGAAGTAAAAATCAGAGCATGTAGCATTTGTAGGCTAAAGACACTTTCGCTTTTACGTGCAAACCACTAGAAAAGGCAATAGAGACTCCAAATACAATCAGAAATCAAGACTAGAAATTAAGTAATACTTCCTCCGTCCTAGAAAATTGTTCTCCTTTCTTTTTTCATTCGTCCCAAAAAACACTTCTCATTTTTATTAAAAAGTCACTTTTACCCCTTATTTTTCCATACCCTACCTATCACATCATACCTTTTTACTAATAATCTATCCATCAAATCATACTTTTACCCCTCACATCAAAGGACATTTTTGAAAATTCAATACCAAAATACACTCCCTTTAAATCCCCCTCCAAAACCAAAACTCCCATGTTTTCCGGGACGGAGGGAGTATATAACATCTATCATAATTCATAAATATTTAATATTACTGTCTAACGTCCCCATCAAACAGAGTCTGGTTGAAGCAAAAAGAAGCTTGGACACTACACTCCCTATTCCTTTTTTAACTATCTGGTTCTCTTTTCAAATTTAAAGTTTGACCAACAATATCTCTTAATACACATATGCAAAAAATATTAAAAATAATATATTTGAAGTATTTTTTGATACTATTAATATTGGTATAGTTTTTATATTTTAATTCATTGCATTTATTATATATAGTTACTTGTCAAACATTTGACACGCAAGGCAAAATGAAAAGTTAAATAGGAATTGAGAGAGCTGTTGGGAAATGGAAACCCTCAGAAGAGAGAAGTCTAAGATGTGTGTTAATAGCTGCTAGCGTTGAAGATGAAGAGAAAAGTCTGACATGCGCTGGTAGCTGTTGATGTCAGAGAAGAAGCAAAGACTATTAGAAGTGCTTGTTTGACTCAAGATCCCTGATATTTTTTTTATCCTTATCATGGATATGGACAATGACGACATATTTCTTTTCTTATATGTGAGAATCTTTAATTTTATGACTTTTTTGAAGGAGTAAATTGCTGAGTGATTCCTTCATATTCATCTATTTCTTCTCTTGGCTTTCGTTTTGGATTTTTTATTGGTCCCACATAAGAGAAATAAAAAGATTTATAATTAAGAATAAGTGATTTGAGAGAGAGAGAAGTATTCTCCGGTTTGAATTTTGGAATGTAGAGACTGAGAACTGGACTTCCAAAAACTAATTTTTGTGCTAATAGATATGATGCATCTATGAAATTTTAAGCCAGTGCAAAATTGAAGTGGATCCAAAAAATTAGGTAGAAAGTTGGAGTTTTAGCAAATATGGCTTTTGCCATAGGATAGAGGGAGTAAATGCCTACGAGTTTTTTCAAACCAAAACTATTTAAGGTCATGTTTACAAGTTGTTTGTTAGCTATAGGTTTGTGTCAGCCGCTTTAGAGGATAGCTAAAATTAGTATGAGTAGTGTTAGAGTTACAAACAAATCGTTCACAAAATTTACAAACTAACCTTTTTAACACTTTTCTAGAAATAAGATACACTCAAATAATAAAAGGTGTTTTAATTTAAAATCTAGAAAAAACAATTTTGTGACTACAGCATTGTCTTGATTGATTATTAAAAATGTTTGATAAAATTAATAATTTGTAAATACTACGTTATTATTTCAAGATAAAATTACAATACAAAGATACAGAGTGTACTTTGTATATACGAAGAAAGACAAGGATGTTTTGACATTGAATTGTAACGTCATATTATGACATCAGTTCATTGAGTTTTAATTAGATATGAGTATTGTTTTATCAAATTGAGTTTTAATTAGATAAAATAATATTTTATAAGATAAATCTAAAAAAATTATTTTGTACCATTATAATATAAATTTTGTATAATAAATGATCAAAGCTAATTAAATTTGACCTAAAAGATCAAAATTAGAAAAATAAATACTACGTGTAGTCAGCACTCTCTCCGTTCTCAAAAAAAGCTTTCTCTTTTATTTTTTCCACTTTCGACAAAACATTTTACTCTCTATTAAAAAATCACTTTTATCCTTATTTTTCATACTCCACTTATTATGTCATACTTTTTTTCTAATAATCTATATATCGATCACAATATCACATCTTACTTTTACTTAACATATCAAGAATAAAATTAGAGTTCAACTGCAATTTAACACTTTTTTATTTTTACATTTGGTCAAATTAGGAACTCTTTTCGAGAACAGATGGAGTATTATTTTATGACCTTTTTTTGGGTATAACGAAAATTATTAAGAGATGGAGAGGGTACATATGTCAATTCAAGCAACTAACACTCATGAAAATCCGTTAAAGTTAATTTTATACTCGTATTATCCAGCTCACCTTTAAGCCGTTAAAGTTAATTTCATATTATCCAGCACACTTTCACGTCATCAAATTTATCTTACTCCTTGCGTTTCCTCTTAACTCTCTATTAATATTTTTTTGATATATTGAAAAAATGAATAAATGTCCACATAATTTTTTTATGTTTATTCAATTTTTAATGTACCAAAAAAAACATAATCAACAATTAATATTAAATAAAGACAGTATTTAACAAAATCACCTAACTGGTACTAATACATCAAAGAAATCATAATCGACAATTAATATTGAATAGAGACCGTATTTAACAAAACTACCTAACTGGTACTAATACATCACTATATATACATGTTTAAAACTTAATCTGTATACTAAAAGAAGTCCAATGTTTTTTAATCAAAATAAGATTTATACTCCCACCGTCTTTAATTGTTATTCTTTTTCTGAACAATGTACACATCTTTTTCTTTTTAAATGTTTTACAAAACAAGTCGTGACATGTGTATTTTATTTTATTAAATGATGAATTTAATAAGGCAAGCAAAAGTTATCAAAAGCTCCCAATCTAAGTAGGCCAAATTATTTGAGACGGAGGGTGTAATATGTATTTAAGAGTATCAGTGTACTTCTCCATTCGATCCTAAAAATCTTTTCTGTTTTAATTTATACATTAAATTTATCAATTACTACTTCTGTCCCTGGATATTTGTTTAGCTTTGATTTTTTTCAATCAATTATTTTCGACCTTTGATCTATAATTAAAATAAGATATATTATATATTCATTAGAAAAATAATATTGTGAAAATATTTGATATAACAAATCTAATAAAACTATTTTTTTGTATCACTATTTAATATTATTTTATTTAATTAGAGATCAAAATTTACTTATTTTTAGATTTTGTTTTGATAAAAGAGTGAAAACAGAATTAAAAAGAATAGGAGAATAGGGGGGGTTTTGTAGGGTAAGAAATTACATGGATGGATGGGTGTGATGAGGTGGTGGATCATTAGAGTAGGAGGCAAGTGCCAAACGCACTCACTGACGCTTCAGTTGGAGTGCAGAACAGTGCACTTGCAGTGAGGCCACCTGTTCGTGTGGATAACTTCTCAAGTCTGAAAATTTGAAAAAGAAAAAAAATACTCTTTCCGTCCCTAAATAAACTTCTGTTTTTAACTTTTTGAGGATTTAAGGGAGAAATATTTTTGTGTTGACTTTCCAAAAATACCCTTGATGTGATAAGTTAAAGTAAGGTGTGATATGTAGATAACTAGTAAAAAGGTATGATGTGATAGGTAGGGTATGAAAAAGTAAGGGGTAAAAGGAGTTGTTTAAAGGGAAAGAGAAGTTTATTTAGAGAAAAAGAAAAAACGAAAGAGAAACTTTATTTAGGAACGGAGGGAGTAATTTATACTCCCTCCGTCACCAATTAGATAACTTAGATTACAAATTGGAAATTAGGAGAAGAGATATATCATTTTTTGAAATCATTTTATTTATAAATTGATATATGGATAAGAAATAAAAATTACATCCATATTAAAAAACTACGTCAAAAGTTCTACAAAACAAGATGTGTCAAGAATATTTTATTTTATCAAATACTTGATGAAATCGCGTAAACAAACAAAGGTTATCGATAAGAAAGAGAGAAAAAATTGTAATCAAATTGGGAACGGAGGGAGTATATTTCATCGGTTTCAAATTGTTTACAACATTTCAAACAGCGTATTATCTCATTTAATATTATTTTATTTTTAAATTTGTAGAAAAATAAAAAGCATAAATTGCAGAGTTCAAAGCTACATGAAAAATTCTATAAAAAAAGATGCGACAAGAATATTTAATTTTATGGAACAAAAATAAGCTTGAGATGAGAGTGTGGGAGTATATAAGAAGGTAGCTAGCTAGCATATCATGGAGCTAGCTAGGTATATATAGTATACGAACCCCCCAAAAAAGAGAGAGAGAGATGGGGAAGGGGAGTAGTAGTAGTAGGAGAGCAATAGGGGCAATGGTGATAATACAGATGAGCTGTACGGGGATGACCCTTCTCTCCAAGTCTGCCATGTCCAGAGGCTTCAAGCCTTCCATCTTTGTCGCCTACCGTCAGGCCTTCGCCTCTCTCACTCTCGCTCCCTTCGCCCTCTACTTCGAAAGGTATTCGCCTCTCTCCATATCTAACCATGTAATATTAATTACTATTATTCTTTGGATTGATTCATCCATCCATCCAGACAAAATCCTACTCCTCTCTCTCTCAAAATGCTATGCAAGATCTCTGTCGTTTCCTTGTGTGGGTAAGTACTACTTCCTCATATCCATCCATATATGCAATTGCTCTTGATTTGTTTTTATTTTTTTAAATTTTATATATGTGCTTCATTATTTGAATTGAAAAAACATTATATTACTAGTATTTATTGTAGCTAGCATGAAATTGAATACATGCCACGAGTATGTATGTATGTATATATATATATATATGGATGGATGGATGGTAGCATTAAATGAATGAATGAAATGCAGAGTGAACTTGAGCCTGAACCTGTTTTATGCGGGGCTGAGCTATGTGTCTGCAACATTTGTTACCGCTGTCACCAACACCATCCCTGCCCTTGTTTTCCTCTTCGCCCTTTCTCTCAGGTATCTATCTATCTATCTATTATTATTAATTACATGCAATATAATGGTACTATATTCACTTACCTACCTATCTATATTCATTCATGAACTAAATTAATTAATTATTTCACTGCTCTTACTTATTTTCATGTATATACGTTAATTCATTCATAACAAGTTCTTTTTTTTTTTTTGGAATGCCAACAACAAATTGAAAAAAAAAACAAAAAAAGGTTGGAAAGGGTGGCGATAAGCAAAAGTGACGGGAAAGCAAAAGTGGCGGGGTGCACATTGAGCCTGATAGGGGCCATGGTTTTAACTTTGTACAAAGGCCCTCTCCTATACCCATTAACCACGTCCACTCCTACTACTACTAAAGGAGGAATAATGGGCGGCCAAAACCGGTCGTCCAACATCATTTCAGCAGCACCTGCCCCGCCGGCTGGAACCACAACCACCTCTAGTAGTAAAGAAGAAGATTGGATAAGAGGGTCTCTTCTTATCCTCGCTGCCAACGTCACTTGGTCACTCTGGCTTATCATGCAGGTACTGTGCTATCGCATCATACTTTTTCACTAATAACCAAACTATCACATCTTATTTTTTCCCATCACATTTAGGGCAAAATTGGAAAGTCAGCCAAAACTATACTTTCCTTATTTTTTTCCCAAAGTCAAAATGGGAATGGTTTTGTGGAACGGATGGAGTATATATTAATTCATTGGTTTCATATTTCTTGTTTAATTAGTGAAGTAAGTGTGTTTTTTATTTTATTAAAAGAAAACAAATTGGATGTTACCTGTGTGAGGGGACAATAACTCAACTAAAAGCCGCTCAAACTTGTAGTTGTGACTCAAAAACAGTTTTATACATATATATATATATATATATATATATATATATATATATATATATATATATATATATATATATTCCTCCAACACTACTACGTTATATTGCTACAGGGTCCGATGATGAAACAATATCCGGCAAAGCTAAGGCTGGTAACGCTTCAGTGCTGCATTTGTTGTGTGATGTCTACAGCTTGGGGCGCCTTTGTGGAGAGAGAGGACTTGTCCTCTTGGAAACTTGGCTGGGACCTCAACCTTCTCTCCGTCGCTTACTGTGTCTCTACTCTCTCTCTCTAACTCTGCTTTCTTTTTTTCGTTCTTGAATTTTCTGCTTTTTTTTTAAAAAAAAATTATTATTTCATTTAGTTTTATAATTTAATACTACTACTAATTACAGTAAATAAAAAAAAATAACTGCAGGGTATAGGGGTGACAGGGATATCCTATTGGCTACAAGCATGGGTTGTGGAGAAGAAAGGCCCTGTTTTCGCAAGCATGTTCACTCCCTTGGCCCTATTACTCACCGCCTTCTTTTCTGCCCTCTTCTTCAAGGATACCCTCTACTCCGGCTGGTACTTCTTATTCATTTCATTCATGCTCACTCCTAGTCTTAAAAACTACTTTTTTGTTTTGATTTTTTTTTGTTAGACTGTGACCCTCTTTGAACAAAAAAAATCAAAACAAAAAACGTTTTTAGAAATGTTTTAACTTTTTTTTTCAAACAGTGACACTCTTTGAACAAAAAAATCAAAATAGAAAACGTTTTTAGATAGTATATCCTTAATTTCATAATTCCAACTTCTAATGACACATGAGTACGTACATACATATTGCAGTGTGTTGGGGGCAGCTTTGCTGGTGATTGGTCTGTACGGCTTTTTGTGGGGGAAGAAAAGGGAGGAGAAGGACCAAAACAACGCTGTTAACAAGTCCAACGATCCACCGCCCAAACAAGAATTGGACGACAATGTTCGGCCCGCTTCTATTGGGCCGGAGCTGGAAAAACCCCAAACTAGATGCTGCGCCATTTGACCCAACCTCACTTTATATACACTGCTCCCTGTTTAAATTTGTATCCCAGTCTATCGGAGCAAGTGGTTATAGTAATCTCAGAATGGGCCGCCGGCGCGGGCTGATTAACAATAAGATAATGCAACTTTGGTTGACCAATTCGTTCTCGAGATACACAAGAGTTCCCTCTCTCTCTCTCTCTCTCTCCAAAAAGGAATTAGATTCTACACTATTCATAAATGACGGAAGTTTTTTATTTATTTATACATTTTGATTCATCATTTGATAAAATTAAATATTCTTGTCATTCCTTTTTTTGAAAAATTTTTGACTTATTTTTTTAAATATTTAAATTTATTTTTTTTCCTACCAATCTTCAAAAAAATGAATTTAAAAAAACTCATTTGCAGTGGTCTTAGACTTTTAAATCTAAGTAATCGATTGAATTTAATTTTTTAATGTGATTTAACACACGTGTTTTACTATTACCCATATGAAATGCCACAAATATCCAAAGCACTAGCACTGTTGCAGGGGTACGAATTTAACGCCGAATCACACGTTGGGTTGGGGTGACTTATCGCCTACCCAAAAGCCCACTGAGAAATGGGTATTCAGTTAATCGTTTTCAGCTTTTGACATATAACAAAATAATATCCCTTCCTTCCTAAAAAAGTTTTACACGTTTCATAATTTTTTTGTCCATAAAAATCAACACTTTTTCCCAAAAAGGACATTTCTACCCTTAAAGCCAACATCTACCCAACCCTCAAACCCCACCCATCGTTTCACTTACCAACCCGTCCCTCATCATTTCATCAAACCTACTTTTATCTCTCTCTCTTTCTCCATTCTCCTCCCTTGCTATAATACCAACCCGTCTCTTTCTCCAAATTTAATGAGATGTGCACTCAACTTGCTATAATATCTTGTTTTACACTATTTATGAAGTTGATTGTATTTCTATTTTTACATTAAGGTAAGGGGTAATATGGGGAGGTCAATGAGAAAATATGCTTTCTTTGACCAGAGCGAACCTCTTAAGTTAAATGTTAAATAAAGAAGAGCATGAATTAATTTAACTTATCAAAGATAAAACTGCTCCCTAGTTTGAGTGGTAGAAAGTCCACTCTTAAAGATTCATGGAAAAATTTATCCAGATTTGAGCTCTAGGTGAAATAAAAACATTTACTTTTCGTGCATCATTAGATTAGAAAAAAGTATGAATATATAGTGACCTCTGAGTATTACCTCTACTCGTTCCAAACTTTACTATTCTTTTTTTATTTATGTTACATGTGTGTTAGTATAAAAAACTAAGAAACCAAATTTGCTCTATAAAAATTTCTCTACTGATATATTTCATACACATACATATAATTTTACACATACTATCACAATTACTATATTTTTAAAATCATTCAATCTTTTGAGTTCTCATATGTTCTCTTTATTTTATTTTATGTCAATTTAAAGCTCACTAAAGGAGCTCTACATACAGCACATTAATGCCTGAAGTCAAATTTATACTTTCGGTTACGTTAAGTTTGTAGTCTTCTGATCTTTAATCCACAAATAACGGACGTTGTGTTTGAGCTTTGAAATGTAAAAATATGTGTTCTATCACATAACCCCATTTAATTTGATGGAAACTAAAGCATGTCTCGAAGTTGTATGAGTATATAACACAATCATCAATCTATTCATTTCGTGTGAATATTTTTTCTATCTAATAAAGCATTTACAAGAAGAAAAAAAGTAAAATTTACGCATACACATTACATATGAAACTTACAATCAATCTAAAATTGTAAACCTTATATATTTAATTAACAACTTGAGGCAGGCGACAATACAATTAGCATTGGTGGTCGATTAAGTGAGTTCGTTTGACCTATTATTATTTGTACATAATTATGGACACCCCATTGATATCATCATTTAAAAAAATACATTATAGACACTTGGTACTAATTTGTTTTTTTGCGAATGTGAAATGTGATCACCGGAAACATAGTTAAGATCCGATAATTTGATTTTAATGATGGTCTTCAATGATGATCCATTACTTTACTTTATTTAAAGTGCCCATAATGAAGGCCAAAGCGAGTCCACTGCGTGTGTGAGGCGTGTCACGTCCTTTGACAATTAGCATTTGATTTAATTCCACAAATTAATTTAAATATAGGCATTGCTTAAGGCAATTAAAAATAATCACGCAGCCCAAATTACGCCTTTATTTACAACTGTACCTACTTTTGACAAAATCTCCCAATGCTGACCTTTTCTCTCCCTTTCTCTTCTCTCCATGCAGACCATATTTATGGAGTACGTCATCATTAATAAACCGACCCGAATAAATCCCCCCAATTTCACATTAGGGCTCCGAACCACAGTTATATATATCTCTCTCTCTCTCTTTGCAATCCCTGCAATTCTTTCTGGATTGGAGAAATGCCGGCTACAGACTACCAATCGTCGTTTTCCAGCTTCGGCCGTTCGTTTCTGAGCATGCGCCGCCGTGAACAGACGGATGAGACTCCCGATGAACAGCTCGAAGCTTTCCAGATACGAGTCGCCGATCGGCTCAACGACTTGTTGTCCGCGAGTTCAGATGACGTGCTCTCTCTTCCCTGGATCCAGAATCTGCTCGACGTCTTCCTCCGTTGCCTGGAGGAGTTCAAGTCCATCGCCGTCGACTACAAGGCTCTCCTGAACAAGCCCCCTCTGGACAGATTCGTATCCGAGTACTTCGAGAGGAGCGTGAAGGCTCTGGACGTCTGCAATGCCATCCGAGACGGAATCGAGCAGATCAAACAGTGGCAGAAGCAGTCGGAGATTGTGATCTGTGCGCTGGAGAACCAGAGATGTCTCAGGGAAGGCCAATTCCGTCGCGCGAGGAAGACCTTAGCGGATCTGGCGGTTTCCATGCTCGACGAGAAAGTCTCCAATTCCTCTCTCTCCCAGCGGAACCGATCTTTCGGGAGAAACAGCAATAATGGCAAGTCATCGCCGGGCCATTCCAGGTCCCTGTCCTGGAGCGTATCCCGGAATTGGTCCGCCGCCAGGCAACTCCAAGCCATGGGAAACAACTTGGCTCCTCCTAAAACCAGTGAGATCATTGCCTCAAATGGGCTCGCTTTATCCGTCTCCACAATGAGCCACTTGCTGTATTTCGTGATGTTCGCCCTTGTGGCCGCATTCCCCTGCCAAGACAGGGGCGGCCTCAACGCAAATATCAACCCGTCCAAGTTTTCCTGGTCTGCCCCACTCCTCGCCCTTCACGAGAGGGTTCTCGATGCCTCGAAGAAGAGGGACCGCAAGCGGAGCTCCAACTCCAACTCCAACTCCTCTTGGGGGCTGTTGAAGGAGCTTCAGGAGATGGAGAGGTGCACCAGAGGATTGAACGAGTTGGCGGAAACGGCGGAGTGTCGTCCTCCGGCGGAGGGGGAGGTGAAGGGGAGGGTGGGTGAGCTTAGGGTGGCGGTGTCCTCTCTGAAGGGTGGATTGGACCCTTTGGAGCGGCAGGTCAGGGAAGTGTTCCATATGATTGTTCGCTGCAGGACTCAGGGGCTCGACTCTTTTGATCGCTCTCTTAAGCCCATTTATCATAATGCTTAATTTTTGGTTTTGTTCCTACACAACGCGGGGGGTTTTTTCCTTCTTTTCTTGCCTGATCCATAATTAATTACGGGTAATTACGTACTAGACTGATGTCAATGGTATATGTGTTGTGTAAAGATAACAGCAAATAAACTTTTAATTAGTTTCGAGTGATTAATGAGAAGTAATTAAATTAAAATGACATCTTAAACTTCTCTTGTTTCTTACTTCTAATGAAGTTTTGAGTATTGAATAGATAGAGTAATAATGCATCAAGGATCTTAGAGAACGGTCTCTTTGTTTTTACTGGGATAAGATTGCATATATTTTGACCCTCATGTCCTAATGAAATTGAGATTTAATTTTGTTTTTTATTGTTGTTGTTGTAGTTAGAACTTGAAATTTATCATCAACAAAAAAAGTTAGAACTTGAAATTTATCAACAAAAAAAAAAGTTAGAACTTGAAAAAAACTGTAGAATAAACAAATCTGCTGCTCAAGCAAAAAGTGAACTAGTGAACAAATGATAATGGATGTGAAATACAATGAAGAGCCACAATCATCTCTCCTCCCCAAGTATTTGATCTAGTAATACTTCCATACCGACAATAAATGAAATACTAAGTAGTGAAATATTGGAATAATACAGAGTAATATTGATCATTGAATTATGAAGTACATAATAAAGTATGTATATGAGGTATTTCTAACACAGCTAGAATTGAAATAGAAAATGAAAACTCAGCAAAATACGACATCTACTATAAATAGAAATAAGAAATGTGACTAATAATGAAACATTTTCATAACTAATACTCCATCCGTCCCAAAAAGATCTTCCTGTTTCATTTTTTGTGCATCCTATAAAACACTTCTATTCACATTTTAAATGCTTAAAATTTACCACATTTCTCATTTATTGTAAGTAGAAGTTGTTTTGAAAGTTTTTTTTTTGCATTTGAGGCGGGATAAAAATGTTTTATGAGACGCACAAAAAATGAAACAGAAAGATCTTTTTGGGACGGAGGGAGTACTAAGGATGGGCAGGAATCCCAAAACCGTTATCCCAACCCGAAATATCGAGTCCCGTCTTTGTAATGTTTAGTTTTGTTGGTGATGATAAAATTTTGTCTCAAACCCGTCTCGAACTTGTTTTGAAATGGGACCAAATCGAGACATAAATATTTTTTTTAATGAAAGGTGGAACACCCACCTCAGATGCCTCACACCCTGACCCGACAGGATTACGAATGGTCTTAATCATGTCCTTAGAAAAGATGCTCCTTACCCGTTGCGCACAGTGAGCTATTACAAATAATATAACTCTCATACTGCCACTATCAAGATACGACCATAAGATCAACATGCTTGACATCTTCTCCTTAGACGAGTTGAGCTACTTATTTTCTTTCTCTTAAAGAATTGCTTGCCATTCAGAGCAGGGTAAAGGGCCCCATGATTAGGAAGGTTTGAGCAAAGGCCAAAAGGGAACCGATTTAACAACTATGTTCATCATTGTTTCAACGAGTTCCCTCTGATCTTGTCAAAAAACTCAATCAAAAATTTTAGTTTATAGTAGATCGTGATATGATCGATTCACCTAGAGGAAGTTTGCCAACGAACGAAACCACCGAAGTCACCAGGCAGACGGGTACGCGGGCTAGGTGTCCCCCGGGATGGTAGAAAGATCGGAGTTTGAGATGTATTAGACTTGTATCTAATTATTGTATTTTAGATTTGTGTAGGTGAGCAAATTATAAGCTCCTTCGAGCGTTACTTTACGGTTTTTACCTCGTTGCTTTTTTTTTGAACCGTCAGGGTAGAAAACGTAGTTTTAGGGATTGGGGTCTCTATTGAAATAGAGGTGTATTCTCTACATTTACGTAAGAAATAAAAAAACCCTAAACCTATCTATCTCTCTTTCTCTCTCGTCTCACGCACGGCTTTCTTGCTGCTACGATTCTCTCTCCACGTCTCCTCTTTTCCCTACGAGCTTGAAGACGCTCCAAGTCCTCCGTATCCGATACGCGTGTCGTATCAGATCGACCCGAGCCACTTGTGCTACGTCTAATTAGTATAATAAAGTCTATAATGCACCTTGGCTTAGCTTGTACTCTTGTGGATTGGAAATGAACACATCTAGTTGCCAGAAAAGATTGGAGTCAAGCTGGCATGCATGCATGCATGACAAATTACATCCCATAAATCAACATTTTTAAATGCTGAATCTAACCTTATATTCCATCATATCGATCTATGTTTTAAGGGATCCTTATGATTACTTTCTTGATACATATCAATGAATATACACATAAACTAGGTAATCATTTCGTAAAATGAAAAGGCTGAAATAGCTCAGGAGAACACATATATAGTTTGTTGTTAGCGTGCAAACAAGAGTGGACGTGTCTGGGCGAGACCATAAAATAAGTTCATGCATAAAACATTGATGTACAATATGGGTAATTTGCGCAGATGAGACTAAAACATACCACTTTATCTTAAATAGGATGAGTCATATTACTCTAACATTTGGCAATGAAAAATTTTAAAATGTCATGACTTTAAGAAAAAAATGACATAAGTTATTACACAATTCAAGTAGAATAAGACATTTTCAAAAATAATTTGAATAGCCATTGAAATAATTAGTCATTATCTAAAAACTTGTCTTAAACACTACATTTATAGAGTCATTCATATAATCAGTCGTCATTATCCAACACTTGAAAAATAAAATATACTGGTTTTTTAGGGAAATATACTACTCCCTCCGTCCCAAAAAGATCTTCATGTTTCATTTTTTGCGCATATCATAAAACACTTCTATCATGCTTCAAATGCAAAAAAAACTTTCAAAACAATTTCTACCCACAATAAATGAGAAATGTAGTAAATTTTAGACATTTTAGATGTGTGTATAAGTGTTTTATAGAATGCGTAAAAAATGAAACAAGAAGATCTTTTTGGGACGGAGGGAGTATCTTTCACTTCAATATAGAGCAAATTTTTCAAAAAATAAAAGAAAAAATTAAAAGATGATATGAGAAGAATAGCAATAGCAATAGAGAGGAAAAATGAAGACACGCAAACATCACATGATACGCGGAGTTAGTTATTGTGCCATGCATATTCTCACATTTATTGTGCCATGCATATTCTCACATGTTAGTTGAGGTAGTTAGTGGGCAAGTGGTCTACGTGGATGATAGGTGGGGCACTAATTGTGAGAGAGTATTTCTACTCCCATTATTTTTTTTAAAGCATTCATATTCTGAATTTACGCCAAAATAGATAATGCATACACCCCCGTCTCACTCTTTTTGTCCACTTTCATTTTTGCACACCATCCAATGCAATTCTTTAATTCATTTTATCTTGTAATTTGTGTATTAAAAAATTATAAAAATTATATATTAATAATCTAAATGTTAAGACAAATCTAAATGTTGAGAGATTTTGATGAGTCAAAGTGCTTAGATGAACAGTTCCAAAAGTCAAAACTAGACAAAAAGACTGGGACGGAGGTAGTATTTATGATTGATTTTTAAATTTTGCATTTTCCGTGATGAGTAAAAAATGAGATGTGATAGGTACGTAGATTATTAGTTTCAGAAATATGATGTAATATGTAATGTAAGAATAAAAAATAGAGATAAAAGTGATTTTCTAATTAAAAAAATGGAAGTATTTTGGGGAAAATAAAAAAAAATTGAAAAAAAAAGTGTTTTAAAAAACGAGGCACTACCAGAAAACTTGCATTTTGCCGCACTGATCTTACTGCACATAACCAAGTGTGGCAAAAAATTAAAGTGTATTCAACTTTTCCAGACATGAGTGTTGCTAAGAATCGTGTACACGGTGTTGGAGATCTGGCACGGAGCTTCCCATGAATGCACGAAAGTCAGGCGAGACGTGCCAGTACGAACTCAATGTTAGGCCCTCGACCCCTCGGGATGATGAGATAAGTAGATTGCGGGATGAGCTTGAGGACATGAGATCCTGTCAAGCGTGTGAATTGCTAACGGTTAAAGAGGAGATGGCTCGGCACTTTGGAGGAGTTTTCCAACCAAGAAATGAAGATGGTGATCGAGTCACAAGAGGAACGAGGTTTGCAGGGGTGTGACATGTTTTTGGAACAAAACATTTGTAATTTCACTTGACTTTGTTAGTTAGAACGATGTTTTTAGATCTAGCATTAAAATTGTTAAAACATTTATTTTTCATATGATTGTTGGATTTGGTCTAGTTGTGATTGGTTATTGATAATAGCATCGTCATTGTGAGGATTTGGTGTAATTGTGATTGTTTGAATTTGACCTATTTGTCCGTGATTGGTTTGGCTAAAAAAACAAGTAATTCGTGGCAGAATTTGTCAGTTTAGCGGCGGAAATGACGACAAATTAGTAATTCGTCGCCATGTGCTCAGAAATCTCAAGGCATTTGCCCATTTCGTTCCCCACCAGGCAACGAAAGATATTTGTCCCCTTTTACGTCTCCATGGACCGTCGCCCATAACGACGTACTGTAGAATTCTATCATCATCTCCATCTTGAATACTAACGAATATATAAGAACGGAACGGCTATGGTCGCCAATTCCATCGTCCTGCTCAATTCCCTTACACTATGTTTGGTTCAAGGAATTTGAAAAGGAAAAGAAAAGAAAATGAAGTGGAAAACCGTTTTTCTTGTTTGGTTAGAGGGGAAAAGAAAGGAAAAGTGGAAGGAAAAGAAAATGAGAAGGCAAAATGTACCAAGTGGAGGGAAAACCAAATTCCTTCCATTTTGGTAAGGAAAATGAGAGAAAACCATTTTCTTTTCTTTTCCTTCCAAATTCCTTGAACCAAACATAGTGTAAGAAATTCAAAGAGTGACGACAGAATTTTTCCATCGTCACTCTACCATTTTTTGTGTATACTCCGTATTTAGTGAGATCAATCTCAAAACATCTCAAATCCTCATTCAATTGAGTTTAAGACAGCGAAAAAGTGATGACAATAATTCAAAAGAGTCAAAAGTTTTAAAAGGAAAAGGAAAATACTTCATACTAAAGTAGAAATTTAAATAGTGATTCCGTACTCCATAAAGGATAGCAATTAACAAACTATTCGATCCAATATTATTACCCGGTTCGATCAAGACAAATTATAAAATTAAAATAAGAGTAATTTATCCAAATAAGACTAAAACGTAATGACTTTCTTAATATAGGACCATATGTTTTTATTTCCCAATGTAAGACCATTGGTCATTACCTATTAGTCATTATTCAACTAAATGTCCAATATCACTTGGACATTATTCCTCTCACTAGTCATTATTAAGTCCTATTTAGAGAATAAAAAAGTTTAAGTCCTACTTTAGTAAATGACTTATGTTTTAGTCCTATTCAATACAAATTTCACTTAAAATAAAACAGTTTGAAATCATTTAGAAACAAAATAAAATGATAATATGAATGTCCCGCCTATTCATTTATTTTAAAGTATAAATCACTCTTATAAATTAGTGTTTTATGGTCATCTAAGCCCCTCTAATTTACTCTACACGGAGTATATAGTTTAGCTTTTATATTCTTTTACTATTCGAGTAAACTATTTTACGAAATGTTCTCTCCGTTCACTTAAGATCTTCCTATTGCAGTTATGATGATTGATTGACTTTTACTTTCAATTAAATTTATTTGATTATAGAAGTAAAATTTTAAAATAAAATTTACTCCCTTCGTCCAACAATAAAGTTCTCGTTCACTATTCACATAGTTAAATTTTATTCACTTTGTTGACCTATTTATGTGTCCTATTTAATAAAATAATATAGTCATATCACATATAGTTTTATACACCTTTTTATATAGTTTTTAAATATATAATATTATCAGTCTCATGTATCATGCACCTGTGTATGCATATATTAAGTGATATATGTTGTATTTCATTCGTCTGATTTGATTTTTCGAAGACATGGTCTAATCTGATTTGATTGTGGTTATATTTAAAGTTATTTGTGTCTGATTTGATATAATTTTAATAAAAATACGTACTAAACTGAAAAATAGATTCAAAGAAATTATATATTTAAGTGATTAGTTAATAATAACTAGCTAGTCACTCAACACATATTCAAATTCATATAGGAGACTTGAAATTAAGGAAAAGCTACATACGGAGTAATACCTTCGTACCAGTACATTTGTCTAGTATGACTTTTTCGAGTCAAACTGAACAAACTTTGAACTCCAATTAGTCTCAATTTATATTGCATATTAGCATAATGAAATACAATTTTGAAAGTTCTCAATACGATAAATCAAATAAAGTCATTTTTATGTTAAAATACATTACGGTTCTTATTTAATTGAAGCTCAAAGTTTGTTCGATTTAACTCGAAAAAGTCAAACTGGACAAATACAGTGAGACGGATGAAGTAATATCCACTATGTATTTTCGTCCATCCCAAATCCCATTCCATAATCCTTCGCCTCTCTTTCTTTCTTTCTCTTTCTTTAATCAGCGCGCGCAGCTTTTCATGATATAATCATCCAGAAAATTGCAGAGAAAAAAGCTCTTTGAACGGTCAAAGCCCCCGCCGCCTGCACCATTTCCACCCAAAACGGCCAAAAGCAATAAAATACCGAGTATTTAACTAATAAAAAATCAGCCCTTAAATTGCTAGCTAGGGCAACTCAAAACCAGCTTTCAATGTGCATACACTCCCAAAATATTTGTCATATCATCCAAAATAAAGTGATTATATTTTAGAGAGAAAAAAATTAAAATATGTGTAAAATATTGAAAATAAAATCAAAATAAGATTTAAAATGCATTTACAATGTCAATCATGATCATGAACGTTACTAAAAAATACTGTGAAATGTCCATGTACCATACCACCTGTACAGAATCACAATGCAAACTCTTTTTTTGCAAATAAAAACATAGAGTTTCTATTTTGATACCTTCTCTATATTTTACGTACATTTATTAAGGGTAATTTCTTTTTATTTTTTTATAGATAGATATAGAAACTAGAAACAAAGTTTATTTAACAATAATGTCAAAATTTTTGAAACAAAACTTGATAAGAATATTTTATTTTTTTAAATAATCGAAAAAAATATTCAAATAAACAAAAATATTTTTTATTTTTGAATGGTACGTAAATTGTGACATTTTTTTTGAGACAAGGAGAATAATACTCCGTAATATTTTTAGAGTTAATATGTAAAAGATACTCCCTAATATTTATATCTCATCTAAATAACTTATACTCCATCCGTTCTCAAAAACACTTTCTCTTTCATTTTTTTCACTTCCAACAAAACACTTCCTTTTTCTATTAAAAAACCACTTTTACCCTTACTTTTTCATACCCTACCTATCACATCATACTTTTTCTCTAATAATCTATCCATCACATCTTACTTTTACCTATCACATCAGGAGCAAAATTGGAAATCAACTATAATTTAACACTTTCTTATTTTTGCCCCAAATTCAAATGGGAAGTGTTTTTTCAAACCGAGGGAGTAAATTGTTGTTTCAAATTGTTTGAAAGTGAAATTGAACAAATATGATTCATTTCGTGTTAAAAGTCTGTATATAGTTACCCGTTCTTGAGGGTGACCTGAAGTGGGCAAAGTGCAAATAGTTGCAGAATCCACTTCGCCGGTCGGGAGAGGCACAGCCGGGTTACTCTTGATGAACGGTGTCTGGCCGCCGCCTTCTTCCGGGACCATGACCGGGCCATCATTTTTAGCCGCACCAACCGGAGCCGATGCAGGGGAACCCGCCTTCCCTCGAGCCCACGGAGACGAGGGCGCTATTCCGACGCCTGCAAGAAACGGCGGAGATCCACCTGGTGAAGGTGCAGGACGTCCCGGCGGTGACGGGGTTACTTCAATTGCTAGCTTCTGGCCTTTCAAGCACGCCGTATTGTTAGACCCGTCGGAAAATGAGAAGTAGAAGAAACCCTTGCGCACCGCGTGCCACTGCAATCACTCCCCATTGCATCATCACGAAATTATGATTTACTCCGGTAGAAATTAACCAGAAAAAGTTCACTCATTTCAAGAAATTGAACCAAATTTTCAAGAATCGGGAAACCCAGTACATACAAGGGAACTGAACTTACAGCAGTATAATTTTTGGAGTTAGATTTGGGGAGAAGAGCGGCCAGAGTGAAATTGCAGGCATTGAAAGCTCTCTGGTTCTTGAAAATGAAGAGATTGTGGTGCCGGAAAACTGTAAATCAAAAAAAAGGGAAACATAAAAGTAGAAATTAAAATCAATTGTTAAACAGATATGGATGAATTGAAGAACAAAAAATGAAACAAACTGATGGTGTCTCCAACAAGTAGAACAGTTGAGTTTTTCCGCTCCGAAACTCCATTAAAGACCACCACCACAGAAACAGACTGGGAAAGCTTAGAGACTAAAACGAAGCAGAGCAGCAAGGAGCGGAGCAACCCTGTCTGTGAGGACGGATCTGCCATGAGAAGAAAAAAAAAGATACTATGCGGAGAGAAATAAAGGTTGATGAAACAGTGTAGGATACACTGGACTGGACTCTGGAGCATATAGTACTACTGAGTACTAACGTCCCATTTGGTATACGGAATTCAAATTATGGAATTGGAATTGAAGACTTCAATTCCAATTCTAGAGTTTGGTAGCACAAAAATCATGTGGATTTGGAATTGATAGTGCAAAAAATGAATTGGAATTGGTGAATTCAATTCTATGGAATTGTATACCATGTAATTTCAATTATATCGCAGTTCAATTCCAATTCCATCAATTCTTTATACCAAACGGATCCTAAGTATTTTTCAATTCCAATTCTGTGGTGTGGTAACACAAAAATTTATGTGAATTTGGAATTGGTTGTGCAAAAATGAATAGGAATTGGAATATTCAGTTCTATCCAAATTAATTCTATAGAATTTCAACTCTTAATTTAATTTCAATTCCATTAATTTCGTGTACCAAATAAATCTTTGGAGTTTTAGATTGAGAGACATGTTCTTATAGTCTTAATTACAAATGCATTTGAAATGTGGATTTTCACATGTTTTCGTAAGATCATTATTTTAAATCTTTCATTTTAGAATGTCCAAAACATAACACTTCCGTGTACCATTTCATCTACTCTAGACTACTAAGTTCGGTAAAGTGAATGTCAATTCAAAGACTATAATGATATGTTTGAGAACATGAATTTGGATTTTAAATTTGGATTTTGCTCAAATTTCATGTTTGAGAAACTTAAAAATTTTAAATTTGGATTTAATCAAATTCTTCTCATTCATCTTCCATCACATTTATGACTCTTTGCAAATTTGACATGTGGCGATATCTATATGGCACTATTTTTTGACAAATTATCATTTATTTAAGTAAGACAACCAAAAAACCAAAAAAATAATTTGTTAGAAATTTATGAAAGGAAATAAATTACTCCCTCGTTCCAAAAAGATTTACACGTTTTTAAAAAATTTTGTCCCACAATCCCTTACCCATTTCTATTAAAAAACCACTTTTACCCCTTACCTTTTCAAACCTTACCTATCACATCATACTTTTTTCCTAATAATCTACATATCACATCCTACTTTTATCCATCATATCAAGGGTATTTTTGGAAAGTCAACACAAAATTATCCCTCCCTTAATTTCAACTTTAGTCAAAATGGGTAACACTTTATGGGACGGAGGGAGTACAAGTTAAGTAAATATATAATATACTTAAATAAATATTTAACATTAACTCAAAAAACAATTCAACATGGAATTAACAATGTAATATACTACAAATAATACTTGACTTGAGATTAAATTAAAATTTCAATTTTTATTCAAAATAAAATTATTAAAATTTTAATAAATATTTTATATATAAAAATGAGACTCACATAGAAAGTTGATATGTGTATTTATTATGTGATTTATTTCACTTAATTTCAGACAGGAAAATATGATATAAATATTTTAGGATGACATTTTTTGAATATATTTAAATATTAAATTTAGATTTTCGTTTTATAATAATATTCTTTTCTAATTCAATATTTTCTTTTTCTTTATGTATAAAAAGCTTTCGATTAATAAACACATAACTTTTTTCACCTTAAAAAAAAGTATATGAGTATTTGTTTAAGATATGCTTTAAAAAAGATCAATTTTGAATCTATTTGTTTAAATAATGATATAAAATTAAAAATACAGAATATAATTTCAAAACTATATTAAAAAATTAAAAAAACTAGATCATTGGGTTATACTAATCTTCAACTAGAAAAAATACTACACATAATTTGGTAGTTTAAGTATATTAATTTGATTTAATGACTAGAAAACTTATTACGTTTTTTAAAATATATTATTTTTAATTATCTATTAGCAAGTGATACTTAAATTAAAATATAGAATGTAGTTAATCAAAATATGTGTCACCATACCATACTATGTTTCCACAATCATTCTTTATGATTTCAACATCATCGAATAAATTTAAATATGGAACAATCTTCTTTTTAATTTTACATTCTTTTCCATTTCATTTATAATAAAACTTTCAATGAATAAATAAGATTTGTTTCGTTAAAAAAGATACTCTCTTTGTCTCCAAATAAGTTTTATATTTGTTTATGGCATGCTGAAGTTAGTTTTTCTTTTATTGATTTTAACATTGACGTAAAAATATAAAATACTCATGTATATTTAAATCTCTAAATTAATATTTTATAAAATAAAATACACTTAGACTATTTTTTTAATGATTAACTATTTAAATCAAATAAATTTAAAAATAATGTTTTCACGGGCATGAATGATTACTTATTCAAAAGTAAAAGAAAAAATAAATAAAATTTACCAAATGTATTTATAATTTTCATTCAGAATCATACGATTACTAATATTTTTTTTCTAAAAAGTTATTCTTTTTTCGAGGATAGGACACTACTGGCACCCATGCTTGAGATTGTAGAAATGGTAAATGATTTTTTCATATCCCTCATTCTTGGAGATGAAGAGTTTTGATTATTCGTGCCAGACAGATTTAGATGTAAGTATTGATGACGATTGGATAACAGTTGAGTTTTTGAATGAATTCAAAAATTCGAAGATGTCAAAAAACAAAATACTTTTTAAAAACGGGTATCAAAATAGCTAGTTTGAATAGTTGCGAAAGAGTTTTATCGATGCTTTAATGGTTTTGGGAAATAGAATCAGAAAAAAGTTTACATACCTCGAATTAATTTGATACCATCTGATCCAGGACTACAACTGAAGTTTTAGAGAGGACAATTCTCAATAGTTTTATGTTTTGCAATGACTATCAACAAAAGTGAAGGTCAACATTGTAATTTATTGGATTATTTTTAATCAATTCATTCTTTATTCATGGTGAGCTTTATGTTGCTGTTTCAAGAATGAAGACAAAGACAAGATTACAAATATTGGTTCTAGATGACAATAGAAATCTTAGCAACCATACAAAAAATGTTGTATATTCCTAAAATCTATCACAAAATTTGGTATTAAAAACACTTTGTTGAGTAGACATTCAATTCTTCAAATATTATTTATTTGACTTTGGAATTTTTGTCTATTGTATTAAAAATCATGTAAGAAATATATATTTTTATTTCACAAAAAAAAGTTGCATTGAAAAAGTTCTAGACTCAAATTTTTTTGTCCAAACCTGTGCGTGGCACGGGTTAGAATACTAGTATATATGTAAAGTTGGGTTTATCTCTTAGAGTGTTGACATGTGGCATGCCACATGTGCATCCACATGTGCATTGAGATGGATGAAATTCATTGGTCCATTTAATTTTTTAAAAAGATATTTTAACATATTTTATTTTATTACATTAAATAAATATTATATTTTGGTACTAAAAATATTATTTAATTATACTATGTATAAAAAATGTCATTTTTTAACAATTTTATAAAAATATATTTCATCATTGTAAAATATACTCCGTATTTTATACACACACACACACACATTGTCACACATATATTCTATACTGATGTATCATTATTTAATAAGTCCATTTTTTATTATGATTTTTTTATTAATTAAAACTATTTTCATTAGTACTTCATTCAATAATGGCCATTAGTTTTGTATAAATATTTTTTTAAATAAACATAACAATATACGGAGTACATTTCACCAGTTTAAAACATATTTTGTTTACATGATCAAATTATATCTATAATATTTTTTTAACTTTATCGATGTTTTGAAAAAATAAGTTTCATATGATTTTTAAAAAATAAATCATTTCTCTTTTACTATTTTAAAAAAATACTTATAGAATCTTTAGTATGCGCGTGTACATCTATATTTAAAGTATAATATTTGAAAAAAGATATATCTTAGAGTATAAAAAAATCATCTAACATATATTATGTACCTTTTAGAAAACTAAAATAAATAAAATTATAATTATAAAATGTAAAAAATTTAGAATGTATACGCGCCCGTGCGAAGCACGGGAATAACACTAGTGAAATTGTAATTTATTAAGATGACGGCTTAGGTTTAATAGCGAAATATTTTAATAAAATATAATTAAAATATTGACTTTCCAAAATTTGGGTCATATCATAACCAAAAGATCTAGTAAATGCAATGATACAATGACACCTAAAAGAATAATGACTTATATTTCGTAAAATAAGTTAAATTAGTGTCAAGTTCAAAATTTAGGCCACTCTTAGAGTAATTATATTATTTTTTTTCTTTTGAAGGAAGTAATTATATTAGACACTGCTAAAAATTAAATAAAAAGATTATATCCGGGGGGTGGGGGGGAGAATATATTGTGTCGTATAGCTAGTGTGAGTTTTCGTCAATTTGTCATCTTTATGTTGGAGACTTAGGAGAGGAATTGGCTAATCGTTATCATAGTATCATGTTAGCGAACGGGAGGAGTATTAGTGGACGCTACTTACAACTTGCAATTAACAATTAAGTGCAACATCACTCCAACAATACTTTAATTTGTAATTACAACGTCCCAAAATAATCTTCTCAGTTCGATTTACATAATTTGACTGTTATAGGTATAAAATTAAAAATTAAAAATTATGTATTCTTAAAACTACATCAATAGTTATACAAAACAAGAAGTGACATTAATATATTATTTTATCAAATAACTAATGAAAATATGCAATGAAAGTTATTAAAGTTTAACCATGTAAATAGTGCCTGAAAAGATCAATTTAAGTCGGAGGAAGTATATACCCCACCCGTCCTTAAATCTCATTTAGGTCATGTTCTCTTCATCTGATCTGATTAAGATAAGTTCTGATTTGATCGTATTTGGTTTGATTTGATATGAATGTAATTATATTTAAAGCTTTTTTGATCTGGCATGATCTATAAACTGATTCCAATAAGAAAAAATAAATAATAATAATAATAATAATAATAATGAGTTGGAAAGAACATGGCCTTAGACTTTTAATGATTTAAAGAAGTAATAGTTTTATGTTGACTTTTTCAAAATTATTTTTGATGTAATTCAGAAATTGGTTAA